CATTTTAGCTCGGCTAACCATCCTCAAATGGATGCCAAGACAGAGGTGGTTAATCGCACATTGGAAATGTATTTAAGGTGTTTCACTAGTGACAAGCCCAAGGAAAGGATTGTCTAGTTACCATGGGTGGAGTATTGTTATAACACAAGTGTGCATGCATCCACGGGGAAGACGCCATTTGAAATTGTTTACGGCCGAGAACCTCCAACGTTGCTCTCATATGTGTACAAGCACAACACTACTAAGATAAAAGTTGTTGAGAAATTGTTAATGGAAAGTGACAATGTCATTCGAGAGACAAGGGAAAATTTATAAGTGAGTCAACAACGAATGAAGCGGGGTTACGATGCCAAGCATTCGGAAAGGGAGTATCAAGTTGGAGATTTTGTTTATTTGAAGCTACAACCTTATCGCCAACTTATAGCAGCTCAACGAAGGAATCAACAACTGGCCCACAAATTTTTCAGACCATTTAAAATTTTGGCACGCATAGGAAAGGTGACATATCAGTTAGGGCTTCCATCCGAATCTAAGCTGCACGCCGTTGTTCACGTTTCTTTACTTAAAAAAAGGATCGGAGATAATGACAAGTTTGAGCCTATTTTGCCTCCAATTTCGGATGAACAACCCACTCATCCTTTACCTCAAGCAGTGTTGAATTATAGAAGGATAATTGGACAACAAGAAATTCTGGTTTTGGCAGAATCTTTCTCCTTTAGAGGCTACTTGGGAGAGAACAAAAGACTTCCAGACCAGGTTCCCTTACTTCTTCCTTGAGGACAAGGAAGATTTTGAGGAGGGAGGAGATGTTAGGGGCCATCACGTGGAAGTGGAATCAAAGTCCTAATAGAAGAATGCTAGTGCCTTCACATGGCCAACATTAATAGTAAATATATTAGGAGTATAAGATAGGAATATATATATTAGATAATATGAGATTTCTATTGGGATAAGGGATGAGGTTTATCTCTTTCCTGATTTATATCTTTCCTACATTTTCTCATTTCTAGTTTATCATCTAAGCCAAGTTCTTCTATTTAAGCTCTATGAGCTAATGAATAAAGGCATCGTAAAATTTCCATCTCAACCTTGTGTTGTACAAAGAAAGCTAAGGTACCTCAAATTACCTTACTAGGAGGCATAGAATCCCTCGAAGGATTCTAGAACCCCTTAAATCTTCCAAAACAGGAAAACTTTGCAAGATTGATCCTTGCACACTTCCAATGAATAAACCCATTACTAGATCCGTTTCCAAGCAATACAACATACAGTTTGTTATATTTCATTTGCCTGTTCCTTTCCACACATGAGGCAGTTGTGGCATTTACTAAGTCCATATTCTCAAGGCACTAAAAAATATATCAATTCAATCGCCTGACAGTCACGATTTAGGATCCCACATTTAGTCCGAGCTAGAAAAATCATGTGTTTTGGAACTTTGAGCTTTATGAGAGCTCTAACATGCTTGATCCAACAAAATCTACTTATCAAGCATAGTAGTAGCAAATGTACATAGGAATTTATGTGTGATTAACCATCACAAGTGCTATTTTATAATGTCTAATGATTGGTTAATTACATATTATTTGTGATTAAATGTGTTAAATTCCTTGATTTTCTAATTTGATATTTTTTCTATTTGTTTGATTTATTTTTTAGGTAAATTGATTGATTTAAAGTAATAATATATAACGCAACTGAAACAATCACTAGAGGAAGAATCACAATTAATGAAAATTGAAAAGTCAAGATTAAGATAGGAAGATTTGAAGATAAGGTGACAATTTAATCTTTATAAAATTCCAAGTTAGAAGAAAACTCATTTAAAGTTGGATTAGGAAAATATTCTAGAAGATAAGAATTTGACACGTCTTCAGTATTTTGGTTATATCTTTTAACTTCGATATTTGATTGACCTGATTTATTTAGAGTTCGAAAGAAGACTTTAAGGGCTATAAAAGTGTATTTCACAAAAATTTTGTGATTTGGCCTCTAAATATGCGAAATTCAAACTCGAAGTCTGAACAAATTTTGCCCCCGCAAACCCCAAAATTTTTCGCATGGGATTTAACCTTAAAAGATTTCTTTTTGAAAAGGAATTCCTCTCAATCCAACCCTAGATCTCCTACGTATACCTAGTTTTATTTTAGTATAAATAAGTATTCTCATCTATTGAGAGATGATGATTTAGATGATTTTTATTATTCTTTTATCATATTTTCTTTTCTAGTTTTTGTTCTAAGTTCTATAACTTGCTAAATGCCCAACTAAAGTTAAGGGAGATACTTTCAATTAAACATAGCCTAGAATTACATAGGGGGTGCATTGGGGAATCTTTGACAATTGGCAAACACCTTTCTATTTTGTTTCTACACCGCCTTCAGACTTTTTATACTATTTTTACGTGTTGAATCATCTGGTTCAAGGTGTTTCATTTGATGGATCTTAAAACTTTTAACTCATCACTAGATATGAATATAACCAGAATGCAAAGAAACAATTTATGTTTAAATATGCGTCAAGGAGCATTAGCCTTTATTTCACTGGTGTCAACCCGACACGATAATCAAATAATTGGTTTATATTTGGAAAAGGTAAAATGAAATAGCAGAGAAATTGACGATTTGAGAATTGAACTTCACCTGGAAAGAGTGAGAGACACTCTCTTATTGAGTTCATGCTGTGATTTGTACGTGCGATGAACAATCGATGAAATAAAATAATAGAAGAAGAATGCAAGAATTTACGTAATTCAGCAACTTGTCTACATCCACGATTCTAGAACGACTACTTTGTTTAATTTTTCACTGAATCAGCGTTATAATTTAACTTATATATGTTACAAATCTAATTAAGGCATTCTGACAATTGGCCGATTATTCCCTTAACCCTAATTTTCTAATACTTTATTATTCTTTGGGAAAAGTCAAAAGGCACCCCGTTTATCTACTGTTGAACGATTTTGTGGTATCATGCCCATCAAACAAAGATTTAGATGTTTTTAGTCTTTGACTTCTTCCCTCCCCCAAAATATATAATCACCCTTTCATTGAGTTTAGTTCAGCTATTTCACATTGTCCATGTCAATTTTTTTTTTTGTCTAATATTGGTTCTAAACAATATTTGTATTAAAATTATATACATTCAAATCACGCATACACCAACTAATAATTCCTAAAAATAAGGTGATAGATAATTAATTAGCCAATCAATTTTTTTTCGTAAGACATCAAAAGTATTGTGCATAAATACTTTTTGTACTGCATAAATATGAAGTAAGATGAGAAAAATTCAAGTTCAAATTGGAGGCCCCAAAAAATTTTTCTTTCCATTTGAGGCCTTTGGCAGCCCCTTAGTGGCGTATGCTTAGGGCCAGCATTGCAGTGTCACGCACTTTGATTTTGTTTTTCCATTTTAATTTTGATTTTGACTTTTTTATTTTAATTGTTATAGGAAACTTTTTATCTCTGATCGATTTCCGAATTTTCTATTTTCTAGGTCTTTTATTTCGATTTTGATTGCCGTGAAGATTATGTTACTCCAATTTATTTTTAGTATGGGAATGGAATTGAGGTTGTATGTGCGGTGGTGGTGTAATGAGTAGAAGCGAAGGTGTGGTTGTGTTGGCATTGTGTGCATACATTTACGTTGAGCTTGGTGTTTGGTGTTGGTGTGTGAACTAAGGTTGGTGTTCGTGTTCGATGATGGTGTATAGGTGTATGAATTGAGGTGGTGTGGGTAGAATTTCGTTTTTATGTATATCATGAAGGTGTGGTTCATGTGAAAAAAATAATAATAAAGTGAGGCCAACACTCTAACTTGAAATATAAACATCAAAAAAGAAAGGGTTGTAGTGTGGTATCAAAATCACAAAATATCCCTTGAACGTATCAACACCTACAAGGGACATCGGTAGAACGTCTAAATTGTCCCTTTTTAAGGAAATTAATAAAAAGAAAAATTAAATTTTAGTCTCTCAAAATCTATGAAGAAATTCTATTTGATGTTTGAAATGTCAACTGAAACAATGAAAACCTTATAATCTTACTCCTGCTGAGAATATTAGTTTTTCCATGACCTCTTTCTATGATTTGGACATGAAATAATCATATGCATATGATACAGTGAAATATGAAGAGGGGTGATATAAGAAGTCTCATGTTCTCTTATAACCCAATAATTCTCTTTGTAAGTCTTTTTTCTCCCAATTAAACAAACCACTAGAGAGGTAATGTAAGAGTGTTTATCTTCCACGACAAAGTGTTATGTGCCAAAGTGAATAATATGTATCATGCATGATGAACAATTTGTTTTATGAATAAGTAACTACTTTTTAATTGTAATTCACATGGAAAGGCTTATCAACATAGACAATGGATCAAATTCAATAAGATGTACCTTCATTATAAGAGAACATGAGACTTCTTATGAAGAGGGGTGATATATGTTACAGTGAAAACAAAATGGATTCAAGAAACCAAAATTGACACTGTTCACACTACAGAACTACAAAGTCTTGTAAAAAGGAAACTAGAAATACTAGGATATAAGCAATGAAGTGTGCAAATAAGTATCAAGAAGATTGGAAAATATTGAAAGTTAGTCTGTAAAGTAAATCAGACGTCTTTTACCTGTTTCGATTCGGGAAACAAACATAAATTGGCCCAAAAACATGAGGTTATGAGCATACTTATAAACATCAGGGAAGTAACTTGTTACCGATCCCAACTACTAATTAACCTTTAATATTTTCTCTACCGAGTTCATGTAGGAAAGCTATACAATGATTATTTGTGCAACTAAATTGTTATATAAATTACCAATTGGTTCATTTTTATGTAAATTATCAATTGGTTAATTGAGGGCAAGCAATGAACACTTAGCTCCACTTTTTACTTTCATGGACTACACAAGTAGAATGAATAAATGGAAATTTTAACACAGTACAAAGCATTCCCTAACATTACGGGTACATATAATCAATAATCTAGATAAAAGAATTACACATTAAGCAGCTTACGAAAACTATCGATAACAAAATAGTAACAAGAGGTCATCCATACTGCAATGAAATGAAGCCATGCCCTTTCCCAGTCAGGGTTCACATAAAGAACTGCTAATGTTCCTAACAACACCATTATATAAGACACAAAATAACTCACATGAAAAACATCCATGTCAATGAAACCACCACCATTTTGCTCATCCTTTGAATCCTTTTGAATTGACAATGGTTCTTGGATATCGGTGCAATTGTTATGTGATGGAGGTCCACAAAGGTAAGGATTTCCCTTGTAACTGCTCTCGTCAAATGTAGCAAACTGAGCTTTGAAATCTGGAATTTTACCAGATAAGTTGTTATGCGCTACACTGAAGACCTCCAAGGAGTTCAACTCAGTAAATTTGGAGGGGATACTTCTGTTCAAGTGGTTATAGGAAAGATCTAAACTCTCAATATATCTTAGGTTGGAAAATGTTGCTGGAATTGATCCAGTGAGAATGTTGTGGGATAGATTTAACATGTGGAGCTGATTTATGTTCCCAATTTGTGGTGGTATTTCACCTATTAATTGGTTGCAAGAAAAATCAATTCCTGACATCAAATCGAGGATACCGCCCTCATAGGAATAGGATATACTCTTAATAGTAAACTCCACCTTTTCTTTGACACTCCACAGGGTTATTGGATTAGGATCTAATGAATACTTAAAGCTCTGGGGAGTTGTTTGGTAATGGGGTATGTGGTATTGCTCTCACGTCAATGGTCCAAAATAATAAACCTGCTTAACAAAATATTTGGCATGGTTTGACCCAAAAGTCATGTTTGCCAGGCAACGAGGAATAGAACTAGAAAGACTATTCTGAGAAACATCGATCAGGCTTATTTGCTTCAAGTGGCATAATTCAGTGGGAATGTTGCCTCTAAATAAGTTACCTTTCAAGATAAGAACATTCAATCTAGAAAGGTTGCCTATCCAATCTGGAATTTTACCAGTTAGGTTGTTATATCCAAATGAGAGTTGTCATAGAATGCACGAGTCAATGGACCACTCAATCTATTTTTACTTAGATGAACATGAGTAATGTTTGGAGGGTTAAAACAAGCTGGTAGAGAGCCTGACAAGCTATTTTCAGAAAGATCTAAAAATTGAAGCTTGTCAAGTTTGCACAACTCAACTGGAATGGGACCTTGAAGCTGATTTTTGGCTAAGCTTATTTCCATCAACGATGACATATTCCCTATCCATTGTGGAAGCACGCCAGACGAATAATTATTTCTAATATTCACAGCCTCCAACCAGGAGGCATTAGACAAACCATCTGGTATCTTTCCAATAAAGGAGTTGTTGTCCAAATATAACCATTGCACACTGGACAAATTGAAGAAATTGGCAGGTATTCGACCACGCAAGCAATTGTTTGATAGTTTGAGGAAAAATAAGTTGTTAGCCATGGCCAAATGTTCTGGTATTCCTCCAGACAAGTTATTGTTGGATAAGTCTAAGACATTTAAAGACCTACTATCACCAAAAGAGGGAGGAATATGACCTTCAAACATATTATTGGACAAGTTCAAACTCTCTAAGCTTGGAAAGATCACATTTAAATTTATAGGAATTTGACCATTTATGCAATTGTTAGAAACATCTAATTCCAAAGTAAGAGGCCTAGGATAAGAAAGCAATCGAAAAGGCCTTGTGAAAGAGTTATGTTGAAGGTGAAGTGCTTCCAATTTGGTATTGTTCTCTAACAACCAGGTGGGGAACTTCCCTGATAAGTTGTTGCGAGAGAGATCAATTACTCTCAGGTCATTTTGGTAATATAAGAAATAGGGTATTGTATCAACACCATCACAATTTGACAACCTAAAAACCTTCGGTTGGAATTTTGGAATCCAGGATTGAGATTCATCTTCTATCGCTACTACGTTATTATCACTTAAAATGACCTCAAGCTTTGAATGGTTAGAAAATGAGACAAATGAGGACTGAATCATGAAGTGGTTATATGAATCGAAAAGGTATTCAAGTGAAATGAGACTAACAAGAGGAGATTGGGCAGTATTCCCATGGAACCTACTGAAGGAGAGATCCAATATACGGAGAGATGGCTCCGTATATTAACAAAACCTTTAGAGAAGTCATCACGCCAATTTTCTGAAGAAAGCTCCCTTGGATGAATGAATAATCCAATTTTAAGAGCTCCAAGTTGTAGAATCCACCCAACTCTATATTAAAAATAAATTCGAACAGAATTATATATGAAATCAAGATGACTAAACAATTAGTATCTCATGATAGAAGTAGTACTCATATGATAGATGATCAGATACCAGGCACCAAGAAATTTTGAAAATTACACTTCTTACCCCCGAAAGCATCACTAGATGTCTAAAAAATTGAGTACCAAATTTTCATGTAACGTAATTAAAATGGAGTATTATACATTAATTATGTATAAAAATCGAAAAATATAAAGAATACCAAACAAAAATTGTCGGACAAAGCAATAAACCTGTTTCTTTAATTGAGGTTGTGATATAAAAATTTTAATATTTTATAATGTAAATAAAGAATCAGAATATCTTTTAAGGTACAAAGTATCCTTCACACTAAAATAAAACAAAAATTCAATTATACCAAATCAAAATAAAATAGTGTAAGGATCACCATACTGGACCTACCTACCTTCACCACTATCAAATATGAAAAAACCTTCACCTAAGAGAGGAGAACGAAATGGATGTTGAAAAACAGTTTTTGAAGCTTTGGACATAAAACAAATTCAGTTTTAGTGTTTGAAGTTACCTATACGTTCAAATTCAACAAGTCCACACAAATTCGTTATTGAATCTTTTATTAGTCTTGTCTTCAACTTTTCAAGTTTACAAGTTCTCCTTAAAAACTTAGCCGAATTAAATATTTTAATCTCATTGGTCTTACTCTCAAAAAAACGAAAAAGGATGGGCAAAAATAAGATTAACCTATTGTCCCCGTCCCTCGGGGGTGATCATCAACAGTAATTTCCCTTCCCTTTTTCGGTGACCAAACCCTCCACGCTAAGATTTAACACCCTAAGAGATGGCAATGCTCCTAGTGAATGCAAAACACTAGCATTAAATATGTAGTTGCCTTTCAAGCCCAGAACCTGTAGCTTGCTCAAGCTCTTCATACCTGAGTGCAAAATATTACAACGTTATCTATAGTCTCTACTTTGAGTTGAACCCTGCAGATGAAGAGAATGAACACAACATTCATTCGACATATCATTTATACCTCTTATGGTCGTGAGGCTGTCAATTTGGTTGTAACTCAAGTCCAACTCCTCCAGGTTGCTCATAGAACACAAGTCTACATATAAAACAAGATATATTTGTTATGTGGAAGTTCACTAGTATATTATTTCTTTTGATGGTAAGCATACTGATCTCTTAGGCTACTGCACTATTTCATTGCAATTCTCTGGAAAGTAAATTTTGTATTAAAAAGAAACTTTACAAAGCAAAGTCACAACATAGTAGCAAAACGGGTCATGAAAGAAGCAAAAGGTAGCAGAGATGCACCACAAAAGAATTTATGGGGAAGTATAGGCCATGGTCAGTACTTCCCACAAATTCATAACCTCGGCATCCAATGGAAAGTGAAAAACATTACAAGAAATCCCATAATTGCAGAAGTCTAAGGTTCAAAACAGAGATCTTGAACCTGACAGAGAAAAGCCTATCCTTAATGGCTTGCTTGATGACCAGAAGCAAGGAGTTCCTATCCCTATATTGGTTGGCATAAATTTTGAACTTCCTTTCCAACCAAATGTGGTAGACAGTGCCAAACAAGCTCAGTTTTAAAATCACAGAAAGCAAGGACTTCTTCTTCCAATTGGTGGCTGAATATTCAATAAAAGGAGACCACGGTGTTGGTGTCCATTGGATTTGACTACAAGCCAGGATAGATGTCCATAAGCCATGAGAATAGGTACATTCAAAGGAGAGGTGAAAGTGGAATTCAGGGTGATGCCTGCAAAGCATGCATTCCAAGCTAGTCTGCTTAGAAGGATCATGAATTCTATTTGTTGTGATCGTGCAGCAATTATGCTGAATAGTAAGGAATCAAACAATTAAGAAAGCAGGAGAAAATAACACACAGAGATTTACGTAGTTCGGCAATGTGTCTACATCCACGAGAGCGAGCGGCCGTTCTTTTCCATTATTGAAGTAGGGTNATACTGTCGACCCGAATTTGAAAGAAACTTGCTAACCACGCTGACAGCTTGTGCCAAATCTGGTCTTGTACAAACCATAGCATACATCAAACACCTCACTGCACTAGCATATGAGACCTTTGACATNTGTACCGTACCGCGGGGGCGTTGCCCCCGCACCCCCAACTAATCAGCATCCCCTTTATATAAATCCCGCTCCGGCATCTGCCTCCTTGCCATTATGCACACAGCAAATATAAGTCACACATACTCTAACAATCTCCACCTTAGCAAATATTCACCCCTTTAAAGAAAAAAAGAGGACATGTATTCAAGAACTCTACTGGGGACGCTGAGTTGAGGCATCTCCCATCTAGCAACTAGAGACATTAATCAAGTCCAAGCAGTGCTTGAACTTGTCTGTAANCTTCTCTACCATGATTCTCTAGCTCCACCTGCACCACATGGTCATTAGTGCTATAGTTTTCTGGTACTTGTTTCTCTTCTTGTTGAGTACGCTGCAACATGGCTTTTTCATCAAAAATCACATCTCTACTGATCACCATCTTGNTCTGTTTCATTCTCAGAAATGTGAACTTTCTCAAGTAATAGTTCACCAGAAGAAACCAGTTCCCTGATCTTATGAAACCTCACATCTATATGTTTGGTCCTCGCATGATACACCTGGTTCTTTGCCAAATAAATGGCACTCTGACTGTCACAATGCAATTGAACTCCACCTTGCTGGGCACCCAGCTCCTTGACTAAACCTGTAAGCCACAAAGCCTCTTTGGCAGCCTCAGCTACTGCCATATACTCTGACTCAGTAGTAGATAGTNCCCTCAAACCAAAGTAGTCTACCTCACTGCCTGTCCACACCTCCTCTGATACTTTCCCATCTAGTGCTGCCCTCGNCTGAACCCTTCTGGTTGTACCATGTAAATCCATTCCTCTAAGTCGCCATGAAGGAAAGCTGTCTTTACATCTATCTGCTCCAACTACATATCTGAATGTGCTACTAGTGCCAACACTGTCCTGATGGAAGTGTGTCTGACCACGGGGGAGAAGATCTCATCATAGTCAACCCCTTTTCTCTGTGAGTAACCCTTTGCTACTAGACGAGCCTTGAATTTTTCTCCCTCATTTTCTGATACTGCTTCTTTCTTCTTATACACCCATTTGCACCCTATTGCTCTCTTCCCCTCGGGAAGTTCCACCAACTCCCACGTCTGGTTCTTATGCAGAGACTCCATCTCCTCCACCATAGCACCCATCCATCTACTTTTCTCTTGGCTTTGTACTGCCTCCTGAAAAGTTGTAGGATCCCCGCTACTAGTAATAAGCGCATAAGAAACCAAATCTTCAAAACCATACCTGGTAGGTGGCTTGATATTGCGTTTGGGCCTGTCTGTGGCTATACTATGATGTTGTTGATCACCTGAGATAGAACGCTCTACATGCTGAGCATCCTCTTCTCTACCATGATTCTCTAGCTCCACCTGCACCACATGGTCATTAGTGCTACAGTTTTCTGGTACTTGTTTCTCTTCTTCCTGAGTACGCTGCAACATGGCTTTTTCATCAAAAATCACATCTCTACTGATCACCATCTTGTTTGCCTTCGGATCCCAGAGCTTGAAGCCTTTCACTCCTTTCTGATATCCCAGAAAGATACACTGTCTAGACTTCGCATCAAGCTTCGACCTCTCCTCACTAGAAACATGTACATAGGCTGGACATCCAAACACTCTCAAACCAGAGTAGTCTACCTCACTGCCTGTCCACACCTCCTCTGATACTTTCCCATCTAGTGCTGCCCTCGGTGATCTGTTAATCAAGAAACATGTCATATTCACTGCCTCTGCCCAGAAATTCTTTGCAAGCCCTGCATTCAACCTGAGACACCGAGCTTTCTCGGCTATCGTTCTGTTCATCCTTTCCGCTACACCATTTTGTTGTGGTGTCTTGCGGACTGTGAAGTGTCTCTTGATCCCATGCTGCTCACACAACTCCTGGAACTTTGAATCTGTGTACTCAGTACCATTATCTGACCTGAGGCATTTAATCTTCCTCCCTGTCTGGTTCTCTACTTCAGCTTTCCACAGCTTGAACTTGGCAAACGCTTCTGACTTGTGCCGCATGAAGTACACCCAGACCTTTCGTGAGTAATCATCAATGAAACTCACGAAACATATGTATCCTCCCCGTGATAGTATGCTAACTGGTCCCCAAACATCTGTATGGACATAGTTGAGAACCCCCTCTGTCTTGTGTATGGCTGTCTTGAACTGCACCCTATTCTATTTTCCAAGAACACAATATTTGCAAAAATTGAGCTTGCATGTCTTGACACCCTTCAATAGATTTTTCTTATGAAGCTCTATCATCCCACGCTCACTCATATGACCCAGCCGCATATGCCACAAGACTGTATTATCTGATTCAGACTCTACAGCAGCAACTCCACCTACAATTGTAGTACCCAGCAGTCTGTAAATGTTTCCTACTACTTTCTGTCCCTTCATCACTGTCAGCATGCCTTTACTTACTTTCATTACTCCACTTATAGATTTGTAACTATAACCATTACAATCCAAAGTGCCCAATGAAATCAAATTCTTCCTTAGATCCGGTACATGTCTAACATCACACAACGTTCTAACCATACCATCAAACATCTTAATTCTAATATTTTCTATTCCAACAACTTTGTAAGATGCATCATTACCCATCAAAACGGAACCAGAATTTACTGACCTGTAGGTGTCAAACCAATCTTTGTTGGGTGTCATGTGATAG